CTCCCTTAACAGAAGGGAGAATACAACATCTCCTATTTCTTTTCTACAACACAGTTCTTTCAACACTTCCAAGGAAATTCCACAACCTTTTGCACTCTGATTCAGGTTTCCTTGAGGGCACACATAAACCTCCAAGTGGCCTCAATGAGTCTCAGAGAGAATACTAACGACCAGATGATTGCAAAAAAATAAGATCCTCCTAGTCCCCCCCCACACACACACACACACCATTCAGTCACAACTGATGAAGCTTCTTGGAAGAGAAGTACAATGTCTTCTTCTTCCTCAAGGAAAAAAACAGTCCAGTTGCCTTTTGAAAAGGAATCTTTGAGACAACCATGACCTGAATGGCTGAGAATTTCCATAGACATTTAGGTCTGAAATACTAACACAACCCCCACCATTTTAAGTAACTTATTTAATTAGATAAATATTTCTATAATCCTGCAAAAGAAAGTCTCAGAACAATGTTAATCTTATAATCATACAACTAAATCACACACAACTATCAGTTTAGATCAGCAGCTGAATTATCCACCATGAGTGATCTCTCTCACTTGAGAACTGCTTCCTTTATTATTCTTTTATTCCTGTATATTATTTTTTAATTTGGCAGGTCATTGATTGAACAAACAGCATTTTTTTTCTTCTTTCATCTATCGGAACATCGAATGACATAGCAACCGTTTACACAAAACATTCAAAGCACAACACCACATGTATAAATATGTTTGTTTTTCAAAATGTTATTGCAGATTACTAACATTTCTTCTCTCCTATTTTGTCAGGTGCTAAGGAAACCTTTTTTCTTTACAATAAACAGATCGGCCTTTGATAAATAAAATGTACAAATTAGGAGAGAAAAAAAACAGGTGACTTATTGAATTTAGTCCATGTGGATTCCCTGTGGGGAGTTCATTAGCCATGAACTTCCTGCAAGAATTTTGAAAATGAAATGGTCAAAATGTGAATGGAACTTTGCCAGAAAAGGGAAAAAGTTCATAACTCAACACATCTGCATCTCAGGTTTTTCTGCGAGAACTCTTGTTAGAACATGAGTAATAAAAAGGAGGTTTCTTAGTCATGTTATGGGGAGTTTGAAGCAGATTGGTAATGTCTATGAGAAACCTTTGTACCATCATCTAAGCCACTTAAGCTAATCTTGAAAAGTTCAGCAGGACCTGGGATACTGCAGCTGACATAAGGTGAAATTTCCAGACAGAACAATTAATCAGTAGAATGACTTGCCTCTAGAAGTTGTGGGTGCTCCAACACTGGACAGATTTGACAACTATTTGTCTGAAACAGTATAGGGGGCTCTGATGGCGAACCTATAGCACACATGCCGGAAGTGGGCTAGGAAAGACATTCGCCTGAAAACCAAAGTCCGTATATACAAGGCTGCTATCATACCAACG